TTCCAATCACCTAAAAATACCTAATTAAAGCTTGGTAACTTCTCACTTTGTACTCGTTGATCTGCGCAACAGCCATCTTTGTTTATATGGGACCCATATATCTCGCGCATGCGTGGCGCGACGACTACCGCCCTTTTATACACCTGAATACAATGTTACATATATGTTGTTTATGAGATGCTGAATTGTTCGAGTCACGAACATCGAGTCACGAACACCGAGTCACGAACACCGAGTCACGAACACCGAGTCACGAACATCGAGTTACGAACATCGAGTTACGAACATCGAGTTACGAACATCGAGTTACACAAATGACCACCCCAATATTATATTTTTAGAAACCACACCGAAGTTTGCGAAACCACGTCCAAATTGTAACTCAATGTTCAGTAGCCTATTTTCCGCTTCGGTCGAGATTACGCGAGACCATTAAATTTGCCTAGCAACCGGTTGCTAGTCATGTGATACAGGTCAAGCTGTGAATCAAAATAGCGTTAAATCGTGCGTGCACCTAGTGTCGTGCGTTAAATTTCCGAGTGATTTATTGCATTTGTTTCCCGTTTTCGACCATGGCTGACTTCGACAGAATGACCGTGCCACAGCTCAAAGACTTCGTGCGTAAATTCGGCGTTTCAAGAATATTCTTGTTGCAATCGCTAAAGTTGTGCACGATTTGGAGCTCGAGAAAGTTACAGTTAAAGAGTTAACAGAACTTACGTTACGTTACGATAAAATTTAGTAACTCGGATTTTAATTATCAATTAAACGAACTTCGAGTACGGAAAATTTACAACATTAAACAAAACAACAAATCTATCTTGCCCGCATGATAAATAACTAAAGTTCGAGTTACTAAATGTGGACGTTCAACAAAAACAAAAATATATGTTGCACGAAACTCGAAGTTCTGTTAATTGTTACAATTTGGGCGTGGTTTCTAAAAAAAGGGCGTGGTCATCTGTGTAACTCCAAGTTTTCGTAACTCGATGTTCGTAACTTGAACATTTCAGCATCTCGTTGGTTACATAATTAAGATTATATGTGCTGCGTGGTTACATGGGTTATAAGCTCTGTTTGGTTGGTACTTGCCCACACAGTGGTGCAGTAACCAAAGAGTGAACAGATCATTGTATTAAAACACAAATCAGAGATTTATGTTGTCAAATATTGACGAACATTGTATATGAACTTTTCACAGAGATACAACCAAGTTACACAAAAGACGAAACACTTTCTAAAGTAGTTCAGCTTCTTTCAGTTATAATTCAGGACAAATAAAATGCATATTATGACATTGTTTTTAATGTTCTTGTGTATCGATAATTATGACAATTGTCATTGGTGTGCATATGGAATACATTTCGCTATGAATTATCGTTACTATATTTTGGAAAAGTCTTGTCCAGTTGTGAATCAGTTGTTTTCAAGTCTCTTTTTTTAAAAAACGAAAAGATGTTACAATGTCGAAAACAAAAAGTCTTTATCGTAGCGTTAAATCATGTTTATAGTAAATCAATGTTTAGTGGTATGTCGCCCTTAAAGCGCAGTAGTCGTCGCGCTGCGCATGTGCGAGATATATGGGTGTCATATAAACAAAGATGGCGACTTTGATTGTTGCGCAGATCAACGAGTACGAACTGAGACGTTTCCAAGCTTTAATTAGACAATTTTCATGTGATTGGAAGGTATCGAAAGAGTCACCGTCGGTAATCAGTGCAAGTCGCTCCCAGGTCAAACCTCATACTTGTGATTTCCATTTGAAGAACGCATTGGCTTGTGGGAAAATCAATGTTTATCAACACAGATGTTGCGCGTGCGCAGCGCGACGACTACCGCGCTTTAATATCACTTCCAGGCACATAAAGTGCTGTATCATCTGCTTACAGTATGGCTTTACATTTCGGTTAAGCCATACTGTGGAGTATCGGTAGTGAATAAATTAAATAGAAGTACTTATATATATATATTGAAGA